ATCTATCTGGTCATATATTATTAAATATATGTAGATATATATTATATTAGCATAGACCGATTATGAATTATATCTACCTATCTCAAATCAGGTATATGCTTTCTAGTTTGCTATAAAGTAATACGAACTATCCCACTCGTCATTTACTCCACTGCCCTTACTCAGGCAGGGTATCTCAACTTCTAGAACTCAAGTTGCTTCAGTCTTGGCTCATTTTTAATTGAAACGTGCCCCGTTTGTTGCGTGTGGCAGCAACAGCTGCTGCCAGCATTTGCAGAGCTAGCCGCATCTAACTGCCGCTGCCTCTGGCTCTGCCGCTGCTGCTGGCGCGTTTAATTAAAAGGCGCCACGGGGAAATAGACGCGACTCTCAAATCTCAAGCATCAGTTGTATGGGCCTCGCCACTCCTTGTGGCAAGTGCATTAATCATACGCCGCGTGGTGCCGACAACGCTCTAGCTCTTTTTCCATTTGTTTCTTTTGACTTTGTAGTAAAAAATGCATTTCATTAAAATGTTTAAATGTCGAACGGATTGCAAATTAAATCAAATGCGAGTGGTTTTTCGCAAGTTCTTTTGCTGCATATTGCATGATTTTTGACGCCTACAAATTGGCAGCCATTAACGAACCGGGTGATGCACCACGCCCATTGCAACGCCTTCATAATTGGCTTCGCCGAATGCTTATGGTTTAACTAATCGAGTATTTCCCAGGCAACTCGTTTGCCATTTTAATCAGCTCCCCCTGCTGCTGTTAACTACATTAGGTTTTTGTGTGTTTGTTGAGTGGCTACAGTGTTGACTGTCAGTTGGCGTACACTGTGCCAGCAATTAGGCAACTGCCCAGTCAGCTGACACACTTCGTTTGTGCAGACATCAATAAAGGTCGATCCTAATCGACGCGTCGCCCGAGTGACAAACTTTTAATTGAATTTAATTTTGTAGCGCTCACTGTATGAGTCCATAAACCGGCTACAGTGCCTGCTTAGAATTGCCTGCTCCACTCAAGTAGCCAAAAAAGACAAAACGAGTAACGAGTGAAGTAGTAGTGAGTGACAGAATGCGAAATACCCTGGAGTAAGTGTTGAACGGAGTTGAGGACGCCTTCAGATAGGGCCATGTCAGAGCTATAGAAGAAATTATTCATTTAATATAATACCTTTGATTACTATATATGCCACATCATACTCGCCTCTCTCTCTTTCTCTCTCTGCTAAATATGTTCTCTGAGASTCTATACACCCCCKCTGAGCTACTTAGGCTGGGTAGAGCTGCCTATAAATGTGTCGCCCACTTGGCAAACGCATTTGTATGCAAATATTTTGTCTGGGCGTAAGTTACGCGTAATCACAGCCCGCTGAAATTGCCCAGAGTCTGGCCATTGTCAAGCGGGCAGCTGCCTTTCCATTTGCTAAGGGGAGTCGAGATTTACGCAGTCAATTTCGCATTGCACCGCAGGGCGTTGCGGCGAGTGGCCAAACGGTGGTGCAGGTGGTGCACAGGTAGCCAACGGGCACACAGGCATAGCCACAGTCACAGGCTAAGACTCCGGCTGAGGCACTTTAACAAGTTGGCCTTTTAAGTTTTACGTAAAGTTTGAGCTGATTTATGCGTGTGGGGCGGCGAAGTGCGCTGCAATTAGCTGTCAGCTGCAGCAGCAGCAGCAGCAACAACAACAACAACAACAACAACAACAACAATGAATACGTATATAAGAATGATTACAACAACAATTTGCATTGTGCTCGCAGTTGATAGCTATGAATTTATGATTGCATTTAAAGTTTCACCGTGCACTGTGCACAGCGACGTAGCTGGCGGGGGCTCTTAGTGGAAGCCCCCCTAGAACGACCTTGCAACGCCCCTGACGGGCGCAGCCGCCGATAGGCTTGCAGCAAACATCAGTTATCGACTTTTGGCCTAGATAAAGTTGATCTAGAAGTCCGACTCAAGCAATCAGCCAAACAACGCGCATTATGACAACCTTACACTGAGCGAAAAGGGGTAGAGCTGAAAGTAGAAAATGTGCTAGAAGTTGAGGTATGATTTGAAATGAGAAGTTGAAAGAGTTCATTAAAATAAAAGTTGTATATTTATTATGTTGTTTATATTACATAACATTCTTCTCTTAGCTGTAATCTCATTTCATTTCTGCTCAAACACATTTCAATTTCTCCCCTAAAATCCCTTTCCGAATTAATTTTAATTGATATGCAAATATGTTTCTCAACTTTTCGAATTGTCAATTTGCCAATCTTCAATCTTAAGTGTATTCAGTAATTGTTCTAGAATTCGCTCAGCGCTATTATCGACATTCAATTAATTTGTTATTAGACTTGGGCTGTGGCTCGGTGGCTCGGTGGCTCGGTGGTTCGCTGACTCTGACTGTGGCCGATCAATTTGACTTTAACCAAATGCTGTAATTAAGTCTTAATCTTTAAGATCCTGCTAAATGACCAATTTACGCATGGCTCCAACCATTCGCTGGAAATGATAAATATCGGAAAATATCAAGCGCAACACGCACCGGCGACCAGTTCTTAAATGTTTTTATTCGGAAACTCGTTCTCACAGATTTCTCGATAATATATACATACATATATGTATATATATGTATGTTACATATATTTATATATATCAATATTGCGACTAAGTTGCCTGTGCCAAACATCCGCATTGGCCAGGGCGGGTCTCTAACCGCCGCCGCCTYTACCACCTGCACCTCCTGCACCACCTGCAACGCCCTCGTCGTCGTCGTCGTCGTCGTCGTCGTCGTGCTGTAACCACGAGCTGCACTTTGCATGCGCACACGAAGTCTCGCAGCCTCCAACAAAAGTAAAAGTTCAGTTCTCGTTATAAAGATTTGAATTTGGTTTTTGGGCCCGACGCGAATTCGGCTATAAAAGCATTTGAGCCCAGTTAGCAGGCATTATTAAGCGTCGTGTTCTCGCCTCGTCTAAAACTCCATTTGCAACATGTTCAAATATGTAAGTCCTCACATTGGCCCCAGCCAAGTCTCAGCCGAGTCTAAGTCTGCTCTGGCCCATCTTCCAGATCCTGGTCGCCTTCGCCTGCTGCTTGGCCAGCGCTGCTGCTGCTCCTGGCTACTTGGGTGGCTTGGCTGCAGCTCCGGCTCTGTCGTTGGCCGCTGCCCCGGCCATCTCCTATGGCCACGCCCTGGCCGCACCGTCGATCACCTCGTATGGACTGGGCCCCAGGATTAGCCTTGCTGCGCCTGCTCTGGCTCGTGCTCCCGTGCTGTCTTCCTATGGCTTGGCTCCCAGGATTAGCTATGCTTCGCCAGCTCTGGCCCATGGACCAATTGGCCTGTCTGCCGCACCACTCGGCCTGGCTTCGCCACTCGGCCTGGCCTCGCCCCTCGGACTTGGCTACAGATCGTATGCTTCTCCTGCTCTGAGCCTGGGCCATGGCTGGTAGAGATTGCCACCTGGAGATCGAGGATCCCTTTTGCTTTTCATTTCGTATGCACACAAAATTTCTGAGAGCAAGTGAATTTGAGTTTTGAATTAAACATACATTTCGTATTGATCAAGATTGACTCTGAGCTTTATTGGACTCCGAATGGATTACAACTGTTAAGAATTTGAATTTGAAGTCTCTCACGCGCTCTGCCTGTGCTCACCAGCCGTAGCCATGGCCATAGCCATAGCCCAGACCCAGGCCCAGGCCCAGACCCAGGCCATGTCCGTAGAGTCCATGGCCGTAGCCGCCCAGATAGCCGTGGCCCAGGCCGTAGCCATAGCCGCCCAGATAGCTCTTGCCGATGATGGTCTTCGTGACGATGGGCGCTGCAATGGTCTTGACGATGGGCGCATGGTAGCCCAGGCCCAGTCCCAGGCCCAAGCCACCATAGTGACCGCCGAGACCCAGGCCCAGACCCAGCCCCAAGCCGCCATAGCCCAAGTAGTCGTGGCCAAGACTGGGCGCAGGAGCAGGAGCTGGCGCCGGAGCTGGCGCCGGAGCTGGAGCCGGAGCTGGAGCCGGTGCTGGTGCCGGTGCTGGCTCTGGCGCTGGGGCAGCCAGGCAGCCGCTCATGCACAGCGCTGCCAGCAGTAAAAGCTGGCGAGGATTAGGATTCAGATTAGTATTTGGCTGGGACTCTGCTTAATGCTTCCACTTACTCCTTTGTGCATTTTGCTATCAACTAGTTAAGTGCCACGTGATTTACTCCAAAAGCTGTGTGCCGCTTGTGCTGCTGCAGCTGCTCGCTGCGTGGCTCTTTTATATGTTGCAGGAACCGGCGGCTGCACTCGGCTGCCACCAAAATTGGGCCGTCGATGATCTAATGGGTGCTGCATTTGGCCACCACTGGCCGGCTGCTTCAGTTAATCCACTTTGTGAGTTTGCGTGCCTTTATTTTGTCTCAGTTTCTGTTTTTGTTTTTGTTTTTTTTTTCTTCTTTTTCATTTTGGTCACAGACATTTCACTCGTTTCGCGCTTTGCTCATACGCAATGTGGTCCGGCATGCATTGGGTAAGTGTTTAATTTGCAACATGCCAGCAGGCGACAAAGTTTTGGGCGTGGCTGCAACTGCCTTTCGAGCAACGGTTTCCTGCTGCCACTTTGTGGCAAGAATCGTTTGATCGCAGCTTAAGTAAGGCCAAAACAAATACGAAAACCCACTGCGAAATAAGGTCAATGAGCTCTCAATATACAAATATTTGTGTGCCGCCCGTGTGACGCAATAATTTATGTATAAAGAGCAGATCAACAAAGAGATCTGTAATCAATTCTCCGATGCCCGAAGTGTCGATCGTAAACAGATTGGGCAACCAGCAACACATTTAAGACAATAAACCCCAAACAAGACAATGGCTAACTAAAAAGCCATTTACTAAATGCCACCAACTAAAACTGCAGACGACGAGGGTTTGGTYTAACGACYAACARATGCGCTGTAAATGAAGCTGAGATTTGCAAACTTGATTTGAGAATCAAATGTAGAATATGTATATATACATGGGGCTTTCCACTTCTTCTTCTGCCTCTCATATTTCACTTCAGAGAACCATTCTACCCTGAATTCCAGTTCTCAATATAAAGAGATCTTCTTATGTGAGTAGATTATTCATGCTAGAAGAGACAGAAGTTTACATATATTAAATTTAAATATATTTTTCGATCTATGGCACTTCCAGTCAATCCAGGGAATTTCTTGCTATAGCTAGACATCTAGCTATATCAGTGATTCCAAATGGATCAGTCGACAGCTCTTGCCTCATTAGTAACTTCTCTTAAATTCTTCACTAAAATGTTCGCTTCTGTGCCACACTTGTCCGTGGCTTATGAGATTTAGTTAAACAAACACTTTTACTGCTTTCTGTGGCAACTTCTGCAACTCTATAAACAGTGTCTAGCTTTATAGTTTCGATAATGCTGCTTTACGACTGTGATACCCGCTCTTCGGCTAGTTTCTGAATGTTTAGGGTATACCATAACATTAAAGAAATGAAGATAAAACACACAAAACTAAAATTACATTCATAAGCTCCACAAAAGAGTCACTGACACTTGGATAAACCACAACAGCCACAGCGAGCGATCCGCGACGTGTTTAAACTTGAACTTGAAAACGAGTTTTCGGAATGCGTGTGAGTGGAGTTTATATCGGAGACTGTCAGTGGCTGGAACTATGAGTGTTGCAACTGGTTCCCCATCCGAGCCGGGATGCAGCCAGAACCTGTTCTGAAGAAGCCACCAGCTGAATCTCTAACTGTACATGGAGGCAGGCCCCAAGCAGCGAGCGGTTGAGTCAGCGCCCAGCGCTTAGTCGCACTGCAGTCAGAAGGTGGAACACATCGCCCAGAGCTCTCAGAATGCTTGGCTGCGCATTCACCTACACGATTCTCCTGCTGCTGGCGCTGCAGGAAGCCCGAGCTGCCACACTCGTCTATCATCAGCCCACGGCCGTGATTTATCACCAACCGGCCACTGGGGTGCCGCAGCAGCATCCGGGCTACACCATTGTCGCACCACTCACAAAGATCGCACACGTCACCTACGACTCGGTGCCCATCTCCCACACGCCCTTCGAGCATGTGCCGCTCTTCCAGCGCATCGGGCACGTGAAGAACGTGCGGCTCTAGGACTTTGCTTAAGGCAGTTGAAATAAATTGATATACAAATATTTATTCGCCAAGCATTGTGCTTACTGCTGTGTGTGTTTTGGTCTAGGGGTGTGTGTGGGTGGCTAAATCTAAGCTAGGATGGGGTGGCACTCTATCTAGATGAAGTAGGGAGCGGGTGCTGGAAATCTGGGTGCGGCGAAGGGAAACGCAGCTGGCAGTCCAAAGCGAGCGGGCGCGGCAAAGCCGATGGGGGCACCCAGAGGCGCAGCCAGAGGAGCGGCCAGAGGAGCGGCCAGAGGAGCAGGTGCGAGGGCAGGTGCGGCAAAGGCAGGCGCTGGGGCCAGAGCAGGAGCAGCAAAGGCAGGCGCTGGGGCCAGAGCAGGAGCAGCAAACGCAACCTTGGGTGGTGCGGCGAAAGTCACTGGAGCTGGGGCTGGAGCAGCCAGAGCCACGGGCGCAACGGGTGCTGGTGCTACAGGGTAGGCAACGGCGTGGTTAATCCGGTGGGCATTGAAGCTGGAGGCATAGGGCGCCACGATGCCAGCGGCAGCGAGTGGTGCAGGTGCAGCGGCCAGGGGCAGCAGACCCGCCTGGGCGCCAGCCACGCAGGCGAGAGCAACGAGCTGTTGAGTGGAGCAGAGCGTAAATCCAAGTCCTTCGAACAGGAGCTGTGCTTGACTTACCATAATCTTGGCGAACATTTTGTTTGGGTGGTGGCTGGTGGTTGGGTGGTTGGCTTGAGGGCTAACAAAGCTTTGATGTCCGATTGTCAGGTGTTGGGCGTTTTTATAATTCTGCCATCTGCCGGACTATATGGATATATGTGGGTGGTTGTGSGGTGTGGTGGGGCATACCAAAAGCRAATCGCAAGACTTTCTACATAAGGCCGTGGTGCGAAGGGCGTTTGCTGTACTTAATAATCAATTGGCCATCTGTTACGTATTATCGACGCCCACTTTCATAATTGCACGCCAAAGTGCGACACCACCGCCACCACTGGCTAGCCCACTGGCCGACATTCGGTTGAGCAAGTTTTCGTTTCATTATGGTTTTTGTTTTTGGTTTTTGCTTTTGGTTTTTGCTTTTGGTTTTTATTTATTGTTTTTTGCGGCATCGATATTCACCTACTAATGAGCCACATTTATTGTACGTGACACCTAATGTGGTGTCAACCACTCAAACCACTCTCTCGCTCTCCCTTCCACACTCTCGCTCTTTCTCTTTCCCCTGCTATCGCCCTGTCCCCCAATTAATATTCAATTTCTTCCCTGCAATTGTCGCATGTACAAAATGTTGTTTGGTTTTTACCTCTCTGCACCAGCGACCCCTATTGATAGCCCTCAAGCATATACCTCATGGATATACTTATATACCCCTACCATAGACCTCTCTGTCTCCCTCTCTCTCTCTCTGCCTTTTCTCTGTTCATTGTCACTCGCTGTGCCTGGAATTCCTGATTTGGTTTGCCTGCAACATTTTGTCTGCATTTTACACTGTCGAACAGGGAAATAAATTTTAATTTGAGAAATATATAAAGTGGATAGATATGTAAAATACAGTTAAAATCAATTAGATGTTAGTTCAAGTGTGTATAATAAGAACCCTTCTTATCTACTTAATACATCTTTTATCTCTCTTCCACCAATTCCTTTTCACTTTACCTTTTCATTAACTTTTCCTCCAGTAACCATTAAATGTTCATAAATTTTCGTTTTTCTATATTATATTNTTTATAAATACATAATTTATAATATATTTGATAATTTTCTAAACGACTCAAAACGTCTTTGGTTTCGTTCAATACGAGTATTACGAATAATATCTATATATAGACCTTTTATGCCCAGTCCAACTCCAACCTAGATTAGAAGAGGGAATGATGATGATGATGATGGGCCAGCTTCAGGGGCAGAGCGCGCAGATGCGCATGTGGTGCAGCCACCAGCTTGGGAAAAACGTAGCCAATGGAGACGCGGTGGGTCGTCTTCTTGGGTCCGGGAATTGCGCGGTAGCTGTGACTGAACGGCACCGCCTCTAGCACGGGGGGGAGGAACTGCGTCACAGTGGGCAGATGCACCTCCGTGGTGGGCAGGAGAGCCGGCGCTGGCAGCAGTGGTGCAGGTGCGGGCAACAGTGGTGCAGGTGCAGGAATGGGCCAAGCTGGCGCTGGTGCGGGCGCAAGTGGTGCGGACCATAGTGGAGCTGGCGCCAATGGAGCGGGAGCAGGCCAGACTGGTGCTGGTACTGGTGCGGGTGCAGGTGCAGGCGCAAGTGGTGCTGGCCACAGTGGTGCAGGAGCTAGTGGAGCAGGGGCCGGAGCTGGTAAATAAGTTTCCTGCAGCTGTAACGGCGCTGCATAATCCACATGATCCGGCACCACATGCTCGTGCACTGGTGCAAGATGATCAAAATGGTTGAAGTGGCTCAAATGATCAAAGTGGTGCGACGGTTCGGCCTCCACGCAGACCAAAGCCAAGGCCAAAACGAAAGACTGAAGGAGAAGGAAAAGTTGGTTAGTCGAGGTGGTGCTGGGAGCCACTGTGGTGCACTATTCCTACCAATTTCAGCTGCCACATCTTGCTTGAGTTTAGTGTGAGTGGTGCGGTGGTGCTGTCCTTGTGCTCAGTTGCTGTTGACCGCTCGAGTCGAAGACGCAGCTATCAATGTCTGGCAATGGATCAGCTCAAYTAATTTATAGCTCTCAATGCGTTTAAGCCTGGCCAAATCAGTTGGCCAGTGGCCAAATTGCACGTGCACTTCTTCACTTTCAGTTGAGCCACCGCACGCTGAACCACACCCCGCCGCCACTTTATCGTCGAAAACGATTTGGTAACCACGAATCGTGACTTTGTTGTCATCGCGTTTACATTTGTTTAGAAGGCGCCTTAGTTGGGGCTCTGCTTGGCTTCTTATGGTGGTGCTGACTGACTCAGGGGGGCCAATAACTTCTTGCACCGCTCGATATTATATAAGTGGATGGCTATTTGTGTGCAGCTCGAAATGGAAAACGATTATGACATTGTGCATAAAATATTGCCGCGCTTAGATTATCGATCGAGGCGACTGAAAGTTGAACGTGAACAGAGCAATTTATGAGCCGCTCAATCGGAGGGTATAGGGCGGGTATAAGCGACTGCAAGGGACTTGCATTTCATGTATTACATTATTGGGAATTCTATGAATGAATGTATAAGCATTTGCAAATCTGTGAGCTGCATAGCTGAATGAATTCCTGTGAAATGTTTGGCTGGAAATTGAAAGCAGAGTATCTTATAGTCAGGCACATTATATAGAAAAGTTTATGCTTGTTTTTAATTAAAAAATTCGATTTTATTTATTGAAAATTTGCTAGGAAAACAGGTTCGGTCTTGAAGACACGTCTAACCAAAAAGTGGGGCAGGAGCAGCGAAGCTGTAGGGCGCGGCATAGGGCGCGGCATAGGGCGCGGCATAGGGCGAGCCCAGGGTGTAGGGCGAGGCATAAGGAGCGGCCAGAGGAGCAGCGTAGGGAGAAGCAGCCAGAGGAGCAGCATAGGGAGAGGCAGCCAGTGGTGCGGCCAGTGGTGCGGCAGCATAGGCAGCTGGAATGCCGGAGACATAGCGGCTGGAGTAGGGTGGTGTCAGCTCGAACGGTGCGGTGGTGTAGGAGGACTGGGTGCCATCATAGTTGTTGCGGATATCCACCTGGCTGCTGCCGCCAGCAGCATAGAGTGGTGCATTGGCATAGGCGACTCCAGCGGCGGCCAGTGGTGCAGCGACTGGGGCGACAACGCCTGGCTTGGCCGCGGCGCAGGCGACGAGGGCGGCAATGATGAGCTGTCGAGAAATGAAAGCGGGTTAAAAGTGGTTCGAGCGCAGGAGTCGAGGCGGCGCCTTACGAATTTGAACATGTTGGCTGTGGTTGTCAGGTGGTTGGAGCACTGGACTGATAATGTCTGCTAGAGGCACTAACTGCGCTTTATATAGCCATATGGCCATATAGCCAGTGCAGTATTCTGCTCGATATTCGTGCGTATTTTGGTCGCTTCTTTGTGTGGGGTGGCACGTGCCTGGCCTCTGATAGTGACACCACCAACAACTACCAGCCCGCAACCACCAGGTAGCGCACCATCATCAGTAGGAAGTCCAAATCGCAGTCGCAATCGCCGACGCATTGAGAAATTTCGCAAAAGTGCTCGCATTTGTATGCAGACGGCGGCGTCGAGTGGGTCAATTGTGTGGTTGCCAATTACCAATTGGTGGTTTCAGCCGTTTAGCCTCAATTTTCAATTTCAAACTAAGCTGACCATAAAAACGCGTGTCGCATTAGTGCCGCACTTAACGATCGCTCGTAAAGTTTCAATTGCGCCGCCTCGCCATCGCATCCTGTGTCGACCTTGAGCCTAACCCAACAGGGCCAACAACAGGATGTGCTGTGGCCAAATCAACCACACAGCCGCTGCTGCCCCCTCCTCCGCCTCTGCCACTGATGACGCTGAAACCGGCTTGCGGACTTAATGAGCAATACGCTTGGATCTCGGCTGGTCACGTGCTAGCAGCGACGGCGTCATCAACAGCCTCGCCTCCTCTGCTCCGATACGATCTCTCTCTCCCTCTCTCTCTCTCTCTATCTCTTTTCTTTCTGGGCTTCACATTGTTGCTCGAGATGAACCCAAGGCCTTGATAGATGAGCTGTTCAAGTGACCAGAGGCCAGTGCCTGATGCTACCTGTGCTCTGCATGTGCGTGTATGTGTCTGTATATAACTGTATTCACGTCTTGTATGCTCTCTGCATTTTTTATGAAAGCCAACGGGGCATAAGAATGTTGTCTGAGCTTATGTGACAGTGCGTAAAGCGCATTATCAAAGAGTTTTGAGTTTATTAATCCTGTCAAGCCGTTGTGATCTTCACTTCTTCCATACACTCTGAAAAAACTTGATGTGAATAGCATACCAATGACATGGAGCAGCCTCTAAAGCGTTTCAATTTAATTTAATTATCATATAGTAATCTTCACTCTATTACAGCTATCATAATGAAATTGATTCCAAACAGTTGGAGTAGCTTAGAGAAGTTAGAGTCTTGATTGGCAACGGCAGAGTAAATTTGATGTATATCTACTGTATATATATTTATTTTTGATGATCAGCATTACTTGCCTTGCTATATATGTATATGCTATATATGCTAAAGCAATTTCTATGTGAACTGAGTATTTATTAAGTATTTAAGTATAACATTATTATTTACATTCATTTATTTACTTGTGATTTCATGTTACCCGAATTTAGTATTTAAAGAACACAATTTATTGAGTATAATAAAATAAACCTCTAATTTCTTCATATATGTCCTATATGAACTCAAGTTCTACTAAAGCTATGTCAATAACACTCAGTACATAAAAAAAGTAAGGGTCAATCAACATCATTCGCATAGTGGTTACCAAATTAGGCAAATAGTTTTGACTAGGCTATGTAAATTTCATATTTCTTATATTTATGAAATTCAATAAAGCATTTTTTTTTTTTTTTTTTTTTTTTTTTTTTTTTT